TGATCATTAAAATAATGTTTATAAACAATGGAAAATATGGAAACATCAGGAAGATCATAAAATGCCCAAGTGGTCTTTTAAGAGTGTATTTTAACATAGATGACTTTCCTTGGAGTCATGATTATGGGGCTTTTACTTTCCCATCTTGTATTCTCCCTTAAGGAAGGGACACAGTTCAGAGGCAATTAATCAGGCCTTTTGCTTTTTCCTTGGACCTCTATCAACATGATCTTTAACATATTTGGAATATAATATATTTCAGTTACTCTGCCTAGATAATCCTGAGTCACTCCCAGCTAATCATTATTTTAGGGTTTTTTGAGGGGGGGGAACGGGGAGATGGTGGGTAATAAAAAGTCTAGTTTGTAACCTTTCAACCTAAATATTGTACCAAAAATGGTACTGATCTTTGGAATCTCTAAAAATATGTTAGCTAAGAATCCATTCTTAATTGTTTTAATTTGACCATTGTAACATTGAGCATCTTATCACATGTTCAGTGGTCATTGATATTTCTGTGAATAGCCTCATCTTCTCCATGCCCCTATTTTTAAAAAATATTTGTTGTTTTGTCTTTCATTATGTTATTATTATTAATTTCTAGGAGTTTTTTTTATTTGATTACTATTACATATTACAAATATTTTTTCCTGCATGTTGGTTTGTCTTTTGACTCTGATTATGGTGTGTTTTGCTATATAGTAGTTTAAATTTATATGTGGTTAAATTAAACTTTTTTTAGTTTTTCTGACTTCTGGGTTTCTTCTCTTGCTCAGGAAATCTTCTTTGTTCCAAGATGATATTATTCTTATATTATGTTCTCTATTTTATTCCAGTAACTTCTTAGTATTCCCTTCTTCCCATTCTCACTCTCCCACCCTTCCTCCCTGCTTTTTCTCTTTTCTTTTCTTTTCTTTTCTTTCTTTCTTTTTTCCTTCCTTCCTTCCTTCCTTCCTTCCTTCCTTCCTTCCTTCCTTCCAGTATTTAGGTTTTTAAACCAACTGGAATTTATTTTTTGTTTCTGTTACAAGTTTGGGATAAAATTTTATATTTTTCCATATTCCTTATATGACCAAACCCTGGCTCAGTGAATCGGTACCCATTGAAATTTTCTTCAGTAGATCTCTTTCTGTCCTGGCATTTATCCCAGGGCAAAGATCCAAGAAGGCTGTTAATCTGCCTTTCTCCAAAGCTTTCCTATCTGGCTTCCCCATGACCTGCATCAGTCATGTGTCTCCTCCTCCTCTGTTCTGCAACTTTCAGTGTTCTCTAAATCAGCTTCCATATTTGCTTTCATTAATCTCTTTCCTCTAGAGCAAGGGTCAACAAACTTTCTCTGTGAAGGGCCTGATAGAAAATACTTTAGATTTTGCAACTACTCAGCTGTGCCTTTGTGGTGCAAGAGCTGCCACAGACAGTAAGTTGGGAATGAGTGCGTCTTTGTTCTGCTAGAACCGTATTTCTGGATGGCGAAATTTGAATTTCATATGATTTTCCCATGTCAGAAATTATATTCTTGATTTGATTTTTTCCCTGCCGTTTATAAAATGTAAAAGCCACTCTTTGCTCATGGGGCCATATAAAAACAGGTGGTATGCTGAATTTATCTCTTGGGTTGTAGTTTGCTGATCTGTGCCCAGGAGCCGCCAGCCAGGGCTTCTTTGCTCCCATCCTGGAGTGGCCCTTTTCACAAAGGTGCAACAGATCTCAGGAACACAGCTCCAAACACTCCTCTGCTTCTTTGAACCAAACTTAGTAATACACAATACATTTCAGGTATTCAGACTTCCAAATTCTGGGACTAACTCACAATCAGTACATGACTTTAGAATTTTATTTTCAGTGGGTATTACACTGTTCCCTTGTTCAGTTTAGTCTGAATGTTGTATGAAAATATTATCTTTTGGCAGGGGATATTTATTTTACTAGCGGCAACTTAAAACATTCTAATTTATTCACAGCCTTACAGACTACTATTGCAAGATGATTTTGGTATAGAAAATATTGTTCTGGGAGCATAAATGCTGTCTTTAGAAAAAAAATTTGTTTTGGCCACTACGGTTGTTTTGGTAAAATGCCAGTGTGCTCCAAAACTCTTGAAATTGTTAGCCTCTGATTATCTATGGCTCTGCCACAAGAATCTCAAGTTGTATGATGTAAGTCATAGCTTAATGCTCTTTTGGGCCATCATCTATTAATTTTTAATAAGAAACAGATTTGTCCAGTGTCTATAGGCTACAAATTATTTACATAAACATATTCTTTTAAAAACGATTTTAGAATAAATAAGTGAATAAAACATATTTACAACCTTAAAACCAGAAATTGTTGGGATTTCTTTTGATTTTCCTTTCCCACCATTCCCCTTTCCCACCATTCCCCTCACTATACCTTTGGGTAACAGGGAGAACAAAAACTAGGTTGTTTGTTTAAACTGAATACCAAATGGTTTTTAGATAAATTGCTTAGCAGTGAAAATATGTTATTCTTCAAATGCGAGATAGAAGCTCTTGATATTGCCAGGAGGGAAAGAGAACCGTTTTTTGAGTTCTTACTTTGCATCAGTTTAATTCTTAAAACCCTGCAAGGGAGCGATATTTGTTCCTATATTCAAAAGAAGCATTTTATGCCTGGAAGGGTTTTGTAACTTCCCTAGGGCAATTTAGCTGGTTAAAGGTAGAGCCTGGATTTGAGCCAGAGGGCCTGTTTCCACATCAGCTATTCTTCTCAAAGATTCTGCGTGGAAAGAATAAGCTTTTTGATGTGATTAGGAATATATGAACACTTATATATGTCCGTTACACTCTTCTGTGGGCACACAGATACACATTGAAACAACTGAGAACTTCATTAAAAAATCCTATGAATTGAGTATTTTTTCTTCTTTCTTCAAGAGTAGAAATGGCTTTTTGTTCTGTCATGTTTCCCCTAGCAAAACAAATTTACTCACAAAATTATTTAATAATATCATTTGTGTTAGAATATATATTTTTTCTTTCACTTTTGTCTGATTAGCTCTAGATACTAATCTTTAGTATATGTTGGGGCATACTTTTCAGAGTCCTCTGTATGACGTATCTCAGATAGTGACTCAGGTGTTAGGATTCTAAATTAAAATATTTTTAACTCCAACAAAATATTCTGCATAAGCTACCCTATTTTTCCTTCCTTCCTGCTTCACACCTCCTCCTATAAACATTCCTTTATCTTTCCTCTTGCAAACTTTTTGAAAAAATTTTTTAAAGAATTTATTTATTCATGAGAGATACAGAGAAAGAGAGGCAGAGACATAGGCAGAGGGAGAAGAAGGTTCCATGCAGGAAGCCCGATGTGGGACTCGATCCTGGGACTCCAGGATTATGCGTTAAGCCAAAGGCAGATGCTCAACTGCTGAGCCACCCAGACATCCCCAAACTTTTTGAATTTTAAACTGAAAGTAGGTCACGTGATAATGGAACAAGTGTTTGCTTTAATGGGTAAAGGATTTAACTTTCAAATGTTTTGGGGTTTGTTTTAAACATGTGTTCTCTTAAAAGAAACTTCCATTCTATCTAGTAAAATTAGTTAGACAAGGTGTTCTTTAACCATGAAGTTGATTATCTAAGACTTTGCCATTGCTGGAGTATTATAGTCATTTAGCAAGCTTTTTTTTTTCCCCCTTTGATATATTTTGGTTGTAAATTCTCAAGGTAGTTATAATGTTATGAGAAAAGGGCAACTAAAATAATGGGGAATATTATTGAATATTGAATGAGGAGCATCATTGAAAAACAAACAAATATAAATGCTCTACTCTAAAAATTAATAAGCTAAAAGGGGTCAAAATGGTAATTTCTGAAATTACTAATAATTTTGACAATCAGTTGTGATCCTCTTCCCTGAATTCTGGGGTTCTAGCATGTGGGATCACTTTGAATTGTGGGAGAAGTAAATTTATTTTTTTTATTTTTTATTTTTTTAAAATTTTTATTTATTTACGATAGTCACAGAGAAACAGAGAGAGAGAGAGAGAGAGAGAGAGAGAGAGAGAGGCAGAGACACAGGCAGATGGAGAAGCAGGCTCCATGTACTGGGAGCCCGACGTGGGATTCGATCCCGGGTCTCCAGGATCGCGCCCTGGGCCAAAGGCAGGCGCTAAACCGCTGCGCCACCCAGGGATCCCGAGAAGTAAATTTAGTACAAATAAATTTGAGTGAAGAGATGTTTTAGTTAGAAATATGAGTGTTTTTGAGTGACAGAGAACTGAAAATAACAGTGGCTTAAATAAGGTAAGAGTGTATTTCTCTCTCAAGAGACCAGAGGTAGCCAGCTCAAGGCTAGTATGGTTGCATAGTCATCCAGGCTGGGGCTTCTGATTGCTTGTAGTTCTGTCATTCTTAGTATAGTACCACATAGGCCAATGTAGCTTCTCATGCTCTGGCCATAGGAGAAAGTGGAGCAAGGATATTTCCTGGAAGCGATACATGATAGCACTTCTACCTGAATATCTTTGGTCAGAACTTAGTCATCTCAAATGGGTACAGAGTTTCAGTTTGGGGTGACTAAAGAGTTCTGGAGATGAGTGGTGGTGATAGTTGCATGATAATGAGAATGTACTTAGTGCCACTGAACTGTACACTTAAAAATGGTTAAAATGATAAATTTTATGTTACATATATCTTAAAGCAAACAAACTTAGTCATCTGGAAGGAGAAGAGCCTGGAAAATGTGGTCTTTACTCAGGATAGCCATTGCCCTCCCTAAAATCTGGAGCTCCATTACTAATGAAGAAAAAGAGATTGAGTATTGAGGGATAACTAGCACTCTAAAACATTTGTGATGGCCAAAACTATAAGAAGCAGCAAATGAAGAAGAAAGAAATACAGTAAGTCATGTATGACCTATGGAGTGAATTGGTCAAGGGAAGTATGAATTAATCATACTTATACCTTTAATGGGGCAGAAGAAATTATGTCAGACAAATTTTTGATGTCTAATCCAGAATTCTTATTTTTGTTCAGTGGCATTGCCAAAGCTTGGAATCAGGCGTATTTTGGGGAAGGCTCTGGTCCAGTAATGTTGGATGAGGTACGCTGCACTGGGAATGAGCTTTCTATTGAACAATGTCCAAAGAGTGCCTGGGGAGAGCATAACTGTGACCATAAAGAAGATGCTGGGGTGTCCTGTACCCCTCTATCAGGTAAGGGTTTCACCCCATTAATCTCCCAACCCTTGTCCCCAGCACCATCTGGGCTTACCTTGTCTTTTCCTCAATCTACATAATATAACTAAATGAGCATGCAAATAAAACTAAAAACAAAGCAAAACAACCCACAAAACACAAAAACCAAACAACTGACACAATTGTGTATCAATATGGTATGATCCTTGTTCATAAATATTTCTGAGTTTTTCACTTTTTTTATAGTTCTATAAAGATAGAAAATATAATTTTATTACAATATATAATACCGAATAATCAAAACCAGTGCAATGACAAATTTCACATTATTAGGTATATATTTAGTCCATTTATCTATTGGCCTGTCTTGACTCTCAGAATGTGTTTCTAGCTGGTATTGATGAGATTGTTGGTTAAAGCACCCTAGTAAAGGAAACAAGTTAACTCTGGCTATGCTCAGTTCTCTGACTATTCCAAATTGCAAGATACTTGTCAAGCTATGTCTCATGTGCTATAAGAAGGGAATGTCTTAGTATAAATGAGTCTATGCATGTACTTATACGTTTTGTGGGAAGAAGAGGGAAAAGGACAGACGAGAAGGTGGGTCATCACAAATCCATTGTTTCTATGGTAAAAAGAACTTGAAAAAACTTGGGAGTTTTAATTTTTCTTTAAAAAAAATAAAAACGTTGGAAGACCCATGAAATGCTGAAGTTATATCTTTTTATTTCCATAGTTTTACACATGATGATGTTTTTATTAGAAGAATAACATGTTTATGTAAAATAGAAATATAAAATATATGTCAGATTTTTAAGCCAGAGCACATCGTCTTCTTGGGTCTCCATTTCCTCCTCTTTCAAATGAGTATAGCCTTGTACTCTTACTGTGATGGTCAAATGAGGTAAAATGTGTAGCAGTGTTTTGCAGACTATAAAGTATAACATTAAGAAGTGATCGTGTTGCTAAGAGACCATTCATGGAAAGCTTGACCTTTACCCTGGATTATTTATGTTTCATTTGGCTATGTTTGGATTATTTTGCATGGAAATAGCTTTTAAATCTACTTGTTGGGGGATAAATTTATTGTATATCTGCCTAGAAGCTCTTAACAGGGTTCTCTGGGAATTAATTACTCATTGAATTCATAAGCTTCAAATTCAGATCTGTATTATCAATAAAAGAACAAAAGCAAGAAATGTACTCTAGTTTTTATAATTTATGAATGCCTAAGGGATAATAAATGCATTGGTGTGATAGATCACACTTTATCTAGAATAGCTTTTTTTGTCTCCATATTTCAGTATTTTTTTAATTGCAGTTAAAATTTTGAACTATTTCCAAGTTACTGTTTTCTTATTTTTTATATGAAAATAACTAATATTTCTCATACTTACTGAGATTGAAGCTGCCGGACATTTCCCAAGTATTAATTAATCTGGAGAAATCTAAATAACTACTTTGGAATTGTATCAGAATATATTTTTCTTCTCAGGAAATAAGAGTACAAATAAGAGGAAAAGAATATTTTGTTAGGACAGATACGGGTTATGTCATACTTCAGAAACAACCCTATGACCTCAGATCATTGAGCCCAGTCCTAAAATAAGTTTAAGAAAGGCCTCAAGAGAGACCTGAATAGGTGATGATTCTAGTGAAATTAAAATCTTGTTCTGCCTTTTTTTGATAATTGATTTGCTGAGTCTCTGTGTCTCCTTCTTACCACAGATGGGGTCATCAGACTTGGAGGTGGTAAAGGCAACCATGAGGGTCGCCTGGAGGTGTATTACAGGGGGCTGTGGGGGACCGTCTGTGACGACGGCTGGACTGAGCTGAATACATATGTGGTTTGCCGAGAGCTGGGATTTAAGTAAGGCCCGTTGATACAAGGCAGCTAAATGCCAAATTAAATTTTTGAAATTCTCATTTTGTAATCCTTACTTTTAATTTCTGTCATACTAACAATACATGTTCTCTTTCACCTGACTACCTTTGTCTGTCTACCTGCCTTCCTATCTACCTACCAATTCACCTCTCTATATATAGAAAGACAAAAAACAAAACTACAACCCAGTTAAAAAACAGTAACATTTTCTATGATGATGAATAACCATATCTTGTTACTTATTTCATTACCTTTCCTATCACCATCCTTCTTCTTAAGTAATTAGTTAGAGCTGTGGATGATTTTTAGGTTACTTTGTGTCTATTCAAATAAGACTATGCTTTGAATGCTCAGTTTTCTTCTGACACATCACTGCTATTAGATGTTGTTAGTTCTGACATCATTGTGTCTAAAATTGCAGGGAAGTCCAACGTCAAATGCTTTGGTATTACATTATTCCCTTTCTCAAATGTGATGATAATTGTCACTTTTATTTGAGAAAAACAGCCTTCTTGTCATGAGATGACCTTTTTTTTTTTATGAGATGACCTTTTGAACTCACCCTTGACCTGCCTCGTAAAAGCTAGTATCACACTTTGGGCAGTATATTTCATGTCACACAAGACTGCATTCCAGGGTAAAGACTTCAGTTGGTTGAAGTAACTGCAAATGATGCCTTTTAGCGATTTGAATGAAGCCCATGAATGCCCATTCTTTCTTGTTTTTCATATTTCTGGGTCATGCTTGAATTAATTGTCTCAAGCTTGAAAAAATTGGCAAAATTATTTCATACTTGAGATAGAGCTAATTGCAAATATTCGTTAGATCTTAAAAATATACTTTCATCCAAGTTAGGTATGATCTTGTTTAAACATATTTTTAAATTTGTAAAAGTAATATAAAATATTAGAGTTTGGGAAAAAATTAAAAACTACCCATAATTTTTCCATTCTTATATCATTATAATTTGTGGGTATAACTTTGTAACAGCTCTAATAGTAAATATGAACTTTTTCTATCCATGTTTCTTACCTTTATATTACAACAGTCATAATTTTTAATGACAGCATGATGTCTATTGAATGTTCATACCATAATTTAAGCTAGTTTATTTTTTATTTAATTTATTATTATTATTTTAAAATAAATTTATTTTTTATTGATGTTCAATTTGTCAACATACAGAATAACACCCAGTGCTCATCCCGTCAAGTGCCCACCTAGTTTAGGCTAGTTTAAATTTTCCTGTTATAAACAATGATATCCTGAAGATATAAATACATGTTATTGCCCAATAGTTTGAATTTTCATGGGCAGTACAGTTATAATTACTTGTCAAGGGGTATGACATACTAGTCAAATAAATACTAATGTTTAATAAGAATTATTCAATAAATGTCATTTCATTTTTAGGTGAATCTCTTAGGCCTGAGAATGGTATTCTGTTTTCACATATTTAGAAAGATTCATCAATACTATTAGTTACTATATTCATATTTTTCCTTATTAATGAAAACAATGGAGTGACAGTTTTTCTCCATATTTTGTTAATTTTGTTTCACAAATATATTCAATTTTTCTTGTATATACAGAATATCAGGGCTTACTGGTTCTAAAAATATTCTCACTAATATTTGTTAAAAGTTCTAAATGATTGTGTTAGGAGGTAGAGTAGGCATGTGCCACACTTATTTTTTGGTTTACAGGGGAATTTCTAAAACAGAGTACTATTTTGGAATGAGGAAGAGGTGAACTCTGGTTTCTTTGAACAAATGAAATCCCAAAGTAAAATGACCTCTTGTCATCTGTTATACAGTTGATATGGACAGATAGTAATCAGATGGATGCATTTTGTGGAAAAATGGTATAAGTTCAAAGTAGCAATATGAGATTTAGGATATTTTTTTTTCACTAAGATTTGATTAGTTAGCAAAGTAGAAATCTTAGAATAATTAAAAGTTGCACCGTTTTAATTTGTTAAAAAGTTCATCTTTTTAAATAAATGTAATAAATAAGTGCATAGGAAGTAATTGGGAAAATTCATGCAAGAAAGAAGGATTTCTTCTTATTCTTTATACAGAAATAATAAAAACATTCAGTGAAGGAAGCGAGTGACATAAAATTTTATGAGTAAGAGTTTAATTACATAGACTCTTAGAACTGAAAGACACCTTAAATAGTTAATAGCCCAGTGATTTCTGGAGGTTTGGGTTATATAGGACAAAGAAAGCAAAATTGGGGGAAGGATGAATCAAAGTACAGACTGTGACTTAGTTACCAATTTTTTATTTGGCAGATCTTTCCTATTTCCACAATGTATATATTATACATTTTGTAGAGCATTGTTACAAATATAGTCAATTGGAACACAAATATGGTTTATAAAAATAATAAAAATCAGATTTATGTAACCCTATGAAAAGTGAAGAACATTGCCATTATTCTGATTTTGGTGGGCTGAAGTCCAAGTCACATCATGGATTGGATGTAGAGTTTGAGGAATCACTGAACTAATACATAGTTTTTATTTTGAAAGGGATGATACCCAAGAGGTCTAGAAAAGCTGATGAAATCAGATGAGCTCTGGTGGCTCTTGTAGATACAAGACAATTGTTCTAATTTTATGTCTTGTGGTGTTATAAATCCATTGTCAGGAATTTGGGTCCATCTCTTGCTCTCATTCTCTCTGGTTGGTGAGTTATATTCTAGCTAAAACACAAGAATGAATGGGGGAAAAGGATTAGTTATCCATTAGGTACCTGTTCAGTCAATAAAAAATTATTAAGATGATCAAAATATGTGGAGTGAACACTGCTCTTAGAACTGTGTCCTTCAGATAGGAGAAAGAACAAACGCTTAACCTCTGGGGTCATTATGCTTAATTAGGTTGTTTGTTTTATTTTTGTGGTTTCTTGAAATGAGAGACAGCAGTTCCTATGCACAATGTTTATTTTACTGCTACAGATATGGCAAACAAGCCTCTGCAAACCACTTTGAAGAAAGCACAGGGCCCATATGGTTGGATGACGTCAGCTGCACAGGAAAGGAATCCAGTTTGGTTCAGTGTTCCCGGAGGCAGTGGGGAAGGCATGACTGCAGCCATCGGGAAGATGTTGGTATCACCTGCTACCCAAGTGGCAATGGACACAGACCATCTCTGGGTGAGGATTGGCCACAGCTTTGGAGTATCACTAATTCAATAGCCACTGCACCTCTCCATTGGTCCAGAATATGAAGCATAACCTGTATGTGTCTTTTACTGTCCCCCAATTCCAAATTTCGTTAGACCTGTAGTCAGATAAAAGATAACTAGCTCATCTAACAGTCTGGAAATATTTGTGGATAAAGATCCCTTTGTGAGCAGAGGGCGACTACATGTCCTTGATAGACTTAACATCTGACTGTTCTTAACATCTTAACATCTAGAGGATGGCAGATAAAATATGAATGAAAAATACAGAGGAAGATATTAAAAGCACTTGCCATGACACTACCGCGGCTCTATTATATAGCTAAAATTATGTCTTTAGCATATTTTTTAGTGAATAGGTGTTAAAATAATCACAACCATTCCTACTTTTCGCCTCAGGGTTGTATCCTCCTGTTTTGAGACGGCAAAGCTTTAATCTTCACATTATAAAACAACAAAATGTATTGAATCACAGTATTAACTGTATTTTATACTTAAGTTTATCAAAGTATGTAGTTTATTCCTCATTATACTCTATAAACTGTGAGATCATGGCGATGCACTGCACTAATCTAGCGTTATAACAAGTAGAAATACAACCTTTTCCTCCATCCCCTACGCTTCCAGATTTGCTTTTCATTTGTCCTCCTTTCTTGCTCCTTTGTTTTTTGGGGAGATTTCTGATCCTCCCAGGTTTACGTGATAAGTGATTGTATGTGGTTGGGGGAGATAGAACCTGTTTGCTACAAATGGATACTCTGGCCCGAGATACCAGGTATTTGGATCATGAAGTGGTCTATTCAGGCACACTGTATCAGTACTCCAGGTGATGAAATACTATACAAAATATTATCAGCAGAGTTCTCTGAAGGCCTCTATGGTTAACTATATGCATATGGTCAGGCAACTAATCTTTCCAGTTCCCCTTAAAAATCTTTAATTCTAGGATTCTAGATATATTTAAAAATTTAAAAAGCTGAGAATGATAATTATTAATAAAATATATGATCATTATTATAAATGTCTTTGGTCCTAATTTCCGTAATATGTCTATTAACTATTCATTTGTCTGAAGAACATTATGTTGAGGCAGATATACTTTTGGAATAGAATCACATTACCACTTATTCATCCAAAAAAGATCATTATTTCCCTATTTATAGAAAAGGACTGCATATTTAAAACAGAAGCTTAGAGAACGAAATCATGGAATCGTGATATAAAAAAATAGCATTTTAAAAATAATTGAGTTTTTTTTTGCTTTTTTTGGCACTGTAATAATGAGCTTTTGGATTATTACTGTTTTCAAGTATTTTTTTTTTTTTTTTTACTGTTTTCAAGTATTTGAAGGGTAACTTGTGGACCTGAACTTACATGTGAATCAAAGTCCTCAAAATTAACAATTGTTCAATAGACACTTTTTATATTTGAGTGAGTGGGAGATGGAATGCTCAAAAGCAATATTCTCATTCAATAAGAGCAATTCTAGTAAGAATGCAGTTAACACCTATGTGAATTCGGGGATATTTATGGGATGGCAAGTATGTGGATTTCTCATTTTAATATTGCACCAAATATTTTTTAAGTTTTACTTATTTAAGTGATCCCTACACCCAATGGGGGGCTTGGACTCACAACCCCGAGATCAAGAGTCAGATTCTCTTCCAACTGAGCCATCCAGGCGCCCCAGTATGGTACCAATTCTAAATTTCAGAGTATTAATCCTAGAGATATTTCGTTCACAGTCAGATGGTCTCTTACCTAACTTCAAAGTATAAAATTTTGACTTTTAACTTAAGCTAAATTGTGTCTTCTAGTAAAAATATTATTTTCTAAAAATAATGTATTAAATCAATGTTACAAGAAAATTAAAATAAAACTCTACTGGAGGTTGAAGTTTGAGATATATAATTAAATTTTTAAAGATACTGTATACCCAATAGCACTATTTATTTTCCCAAGCATTTTATATTTAAGGTTTTGGATATAAAACATGTATATTATTACTACTGTAACAAAAAGAACTTAAACAGTAAGGTGTTGTTGATAAAATGGCTTTTGTCATCCAGTTTTCCCTTCAAGCATTGAAAATTCAACGATTTTGTCAAATGAGGGGCTAAAATTAGGTTCAGAAATTCTGCATGCATTATTTATGCAAAGCATGCAACTGAGACTTTGTTTTACTTTTAAAGATTTTATTTATTTATTCATGAGAGACACACAGAGAGAGAGAGAGAGAGAGAGGCAGAGACACAGGCAGAGAGAAGCAGGCTCCATGCAGGGAGCCCGATGTGGGACTCGATCCCTGGTCTCCAGGATCACACCCTGGGCTGTAGGCAGGCACTAAACCACTGAGCCACCCAGGAATCCCCTAAAAAAACTTTATGATTTTTATTTTTATGGTATGAAAAACTGCCCATAAAATGCCCAGAATGGAAAGTGGAGATCCAATTCCATGTGCACATGTTTTCTTAATTTTGGACCAAATATCCAAAAATGTAAAAATTGAGAACTTTAAGAATAGAATTTCACCTTTTTGGATTTATTTTTATTTGAGGATCACCTTTCTACCTTATTCGTTTTACACACACACACACACACACACACACACACACAGAAAACAAAACAAAAAACAAAAAACAACAAAAAAAAAAACCTCCAAACTTTCAGATACATTGATAAGAAATGTAAAGTTTCAAATATACTGTGTTTTGTGCCATGGCTAAAACCCCGAATTCTTTTTAACTAATGTAAGCAGTGCATAAAGTAGGCACTCCATAAATATTTGTTGATTTTGAATTTGCTCTATGGATTTTACTATGATGCCTGTCCCACAAAGTGAGTATGGCAGGGCCAAAAACTAAAGAGCCAACAAAGGGGTCGGGGGAACAAGGATGTAGAAGTAAAAATGAATCAGAAGATTCAAATAGGACATGTCCATCTTGCCAACAGTAAACAAATGCCAATCTAGTGATTTCATGTTAGTTTAAACAGAAATGCTGCTTTATTCTTTAGCTGCTTACTTCACTTCTTGAGTTCACCTCTTAGGGGTCCTGAAGCTAGAGACCTTTCTAGTAACTAGGTAATCTAAAGTGCAGTAGTTTGCTTGGGCTGCTGTAACAAAGTACCATAGAGTGGATGGCTTAAACAATACATATATGTTGTCACACATTTCTGGAGTCTAAAATCAAGGAGCCATCAGGATTGGTTCCTTCACAGGGCTAAGAGGGAAGGCTCTGTTCCAGACCTTTCTCCTTGTCTTATAGATGACCTGTGTCTTTTCCCTCTGGGTATCTTGGTGTCCGAATCTTCCCTTTGTATATGGACATCAGTCATAGTGGACTAGAGTCCACACTATGACCTCACAATTCAACCCATGGCAGTATGCAGGGTGCAGTGAGGGCTTTCAGTTAAATAGCCCTGTATTTATTGGTGTCCATAGAGATATGTGAAATTCTACAAATGACTTCAGTTACATAACTGAGATAAACCTCAGTTTGCTAGAGATCAGTTTCTCAACTTTTTAAAAAATAGAATGACTTTTTAAAATTTTAATTTGTACTCCTTTTTAGCTTCAGCATTAAAAAAAAATTGAGGTAGGGGCATCTGGGTGGCTGAGTGATTGAGCATCTACCTTTGGTTCAGGACTTGATCCCGGGGTCCTGGGATCGAGTTCTGCGTCGGGCTCCTCACAGTGAGCCTGCTTCTTCCTCTGCGTGTGTCCCTGCTTCTCTCTCTGTGTCTCTCATAAATAAATAAAAATCTTTTTAAAAAAAACTAAAAACTGGGATCCCTGGGTGGTGCAGCGGTTTGGCGCCTGCCTTTGGCCCAGGGCGCGATCCTGGAGACCCGGGATCGAGTCCCACATTGGGCTCCCGGTGCATGGAGCCTGCTTCTCCCTCTGCCTGTGTCTCTGCCTCTCTCTCTCTCTGTGACTATCATAAATAAATAAAAATTAAAAAAACAAAAACAAAAAACTAAAAACTAAGGTAAATTGAGGTATAATGGACATATAACATTATATCAGTTTCAAGTGTACAACATAATGATTCAATATTTGTATACACTGTGAAATGATCACCACAATAAATCTAATTAACATCCATCACCTTACATAGTTACAAGAAATTTTTTTTCATGTGTTGAGAACTTTCAAGATCTACTCTCAGGAACTTTCAATTATGAAGAATAGTATTATTAACTATACTCACCGTACTGTACATAACATCTCCATTCAACTTTGAAATCTTAGTAATTTTTATGCCTTAAGCCCTTCTTTTGGAAACATTATTAGTAAATAGGAAGGCTGGAATGGAAATTGTCCTTGTTAGCTGCCTTCCTTTTTTTTCCCCCTCTACACATTCAAGATAGCCATGCATGCCAAGGATGTGTATATTTATGCTTTTCTAAAAGATCTCAGCTTTAGAGTATAAATTTCTAGCTATGTTCAAGAATAAATGAATAGACATGAAACAAAAACAACTTTAAGGAAATCTCTTAATGTTTAGAAGTTAGTGGTCAGAATATAAGACTATTCATAATTTTGCCAAGCTAATCATTCATTCATTCAGCAAACAGCATGTCCTTTGTATGTGAGGCACTATTCCACGTGCTGGGAATTTATAGTTGAGCAAGTTGAGTACTCTGACCCCAAGGCTTCAAAACATATTGCAAAAGTGGATACAGTTTTTTATTAATACCTCTTCTCTCCCACTCACTCTGTCTCGTATTACCCAGCTGATTTTATAGTTGATGTGAAAAATGAACTGTATTTTATAAAGTCTCTCATACTTTAACATCAGTTTGCTGTTTTGTCTTTTCTAATACTTTCAAATTATGATTTAGGTTTTCCTATCAGACTGGTGGATGGAGAAAATAAGAAAGAAGGACGAGTGGAGGTTTTCATCAATGGCCAGTGGGGAACAATTTGTGATGATGGGTGGACTGATAAGGATGCAGCTGTGATCTGTCGCCAGCTTGGGTACAAGTAAGAAGAACCTAAGTATTTGAAATGATTACTTGATGAACATTTCTGACTTTTTAGATTTGTTCTAATGAGTTATTTCTTACCTAAATTTATTTCTATCTATCAGTTGGAAATACTGGCAGCATACTGACTTGATTCCGAATTTTTAAGAAACACTAAGGAGAGTATACTTAAATTTTTGTTTTCCCAGAAGCAATATACTTTGTTACATAAGAAATACAGCTTTGGGGACACGTGGCTGGCTCAGTTGGTAGAACAAGCATGCAATTCCTGATCTCAGGGTCCCCAGTTTAAGCTCCCATGTTGGGCCTACAGCTTACTCAAAAAAAAAAAAAAAAAAAAAAAAAAAGGAGATTCTTATCTAAAACAAATCATCTAATAATTTTTTAAAGATTTTACTTATTTATTAGAGAGAGAGAGCAAGCATGAGTAAGGGGAGGAGAAAGAGAAAAGGGGCAAACAGGTTCTGCGCTGAGTGTGGAGACAGATGGTGGGCCTGGATCCTAGGACCCTGACATTGTAACCTGAGCTAAAGTCAGATACTTAACCAACTGAGCCACCCAGGGGTCCCTCGACCCTGTAGCCTCTTAAGAGATTCTGGACTTAATTGAAATTGTGATTGGTTCTCCTGATTCATAGTAGTTACACGCTCTAAAGTCACAATGAACACTGTATTAGCAAATATTGGAGCCATTGCTTTGAGAGTTAAGGGTGAATAAGGAGATGCTCTGCCTTCTTGTTTTACCTCTCAAACATGCAAGCAGTTGAACATTTTGTGGTCTGTTAGTATCTTTTTTCCCCTGCTTTTTTGTTCTTGACTTCACTGTTTGAAATGCCACCTACGCACAGTGCTGAAGCGCTGTTCAGCATTCCCGAGTGCAAGAAGGTTGTGATGCGCCTTCTGGAGAAAATACAGGTGTTAGATAGTCTCCACTGATGCATGAGTTACAGTGTGAAAAACATGGCACCAAATAGACAGGGAAAAGAACACTTGTTTCAGTTGAGAGCTGAAATAAATAAGCAGATTATCTTCTTGTGAGATCTGAACTGGGCAGTACACATTTTTTGAGGCTTTGAGCATGTCTGTAAATGACTATGAAAGCACTGTGATAATTGATTTGGCAGCTGCAAATATATGGAACATGTTACAGTTCAGAGGTTGTGAAATTTAAACAAATATGCATAATTTGATGAGCTGATAGATTACTAATATTGGTTTGGATTTTTTTTTTTAAAGATTTTATTTATTTATTCAGGAGAGACACAGAGAGGCAAAGACACAGGCAGAGGGAGAAGCAGGCCCCATGTAGGGAGCCTGATGTGGAACTCGATCCTGGGACTCCAGGATCATGCCCTGGGCCGAAGGCAGGTGCCAAACCTCTGAGCCACCCAGGGATCCCTTGGTTTGGATTTTAAAATACATTTTTATTTATACATCTATGTGTATCTTAAATATTGATAAATTTAACTGGTTATTCCTATGCAGAATACATTTTTATTTTATTTTATTTTTTTTTAATTTTTATTTATTTATGATAGTCACACAGTGAGAGAGAGAGAGAGGCAGAGACACAGGCAGAGGGAGAAGCAGGCTCCAAGCACCGGGAGCCTGACGTGGGATTCGATCCCGGGTCTCCAGGATCGCGCCCTGGGCCAAAGGCAGGCGCTAAACCGCTGCGCCACCCAGGGATCCCTACATTTTTATTTTTAAAAGTAACCTAGCTTGGCAGGCTCAGCTGTAGAGCATGTGACTCTTGATCTTGGGGTCATGAATTCAAGCCTCACATTGGGTGTAGAGATAACTTAAGAATAAAATATTTAAAAAAAAAATATATATATATATATTTCTGGGCAGCCCGGGTGGCTCAGTGGTTTGGTGCTACCTTCAGCCCAGGGCGTGACCCTGGAGACCCGGGATCGAGTCCCTCATCAGGCTCCCTGCATGGAGCCTGCTTCTCCCTCTGCCTGTGTCTCTGCCTCTCTCTCTGTCTCTGCGTATCTCATGAATAAATAAAATCTTTAAAAAGAAATTTTAAAAAAAGAAATAAAAATAAAAATAAAAGTATTTCTAATTTGGGGCAGCCCCGTGGTGCAGTGGTTTAGTGCTGCCTTCAGCCCAGGGCCTGATCCTGGAGGCCCCGGGATCGAGTCCCACGTCGGGCTCCCTGCATGGAACCTGCTTCTCCCTCTGCCTGTGTCTCTGCCTCTCTCTCTCTCTCTGTGTCTCTCATGAATAAATAAATAAAATCTTTAAAAAAAAAAGTATTTCTAATTTGGAGTGTCTGGGTGGCTCAGTCGGTTAAGTGTCCCACTCTTGATTTTGGCTCGGGTCATGATTTCAGGGTTGTAAGATTGAGACCTCCTTGGGCTCCATGCTCTAGTTTAGTCTGCTCGTCTTTCTCCCTCCCCTACTGCCCTCCTTCTGGGCTCCCCACGTGCATGCTCTCTCTCTCTCTCTCTCTCAAGTAAAATCTTTAAAAAAGTATTTCTAATTTTCATAAAAATTCAAATGCTTTTTATAATTTTTTAATTCAAAGTTTGTTTTGGGTTACCCAGATATTGCTTCAATTTACTGCTGAGTTTTGGACCTAGTTGCACTTCCAATTGTCTTATGGTAAATAGGTCCATTATTGGTGATACAGATATTCAGTATTCAAATTGGTATATGGGGACACCTGGGTGGATCAGTAGTTGAGCGTCTGCCTTCAGCTCAGGGCATGATCCTGGAGTCCTAGGATCGAGTCCCACATCGAGCTCTTTGCATGAAGCCTCCTTCTCTCTCTCTGCATCTCTCATGAATAAATAAATAAAATAAAATAAATTGGTATATGAAATAGATTTCAGCTTTCAAAATATAAGGGAGTAGAAGGAAGATAGGAAGAGTCCACATTAGATGCCTAGGTGAATTTCAACAATGATTTGCTTCCTTTGTTCACTACATTTTAAACACTCCATTTTTTGAAAAGAAAAAACATTATTTTTCTTATATTTCACTCAGTGAATTTATCCAAAATCAGCCATTAAAGTATATTGCTGTTTGACACTGGTTATTTTGCCATACTTTCATATTTTTATTAGAATAACAGGAAATCTAGTATTATCTTTGGAAATATGAAAGGAAGGGTGAAATTTGATCCTCGAATTGTGTGTCTAAGTCAAGTTTATTTTTTTTTATTTTTTCAAATATTTTATTTATTTATTCATGAGAGACACACAGAGAGAGAGGCAGAGACATAAGCGGAGGGAGAAGCAGGCTCCATGCAGGGAGCCTAATGTGGGGCTCGATCCCAGGACTCCAGGACCATGCCCTGAGCTGAAGGCAGGCACTTAACCGCTGAGCCACCCAGGTGTCCGTAAGACAAGTTTAAAGAGAGAAAAAGTTCATAAGCATATGCATCAACGCATTTTCACTTAGGTTTTTTTCTACATTTTTCATTGCTTTTTACTTATCATTAGCTAGTCCATTTTACATTTAACTGAAATGGAGAATTTAGGTAAGATAATAATATAGATTAATATAGATTATAGAATTTAGGTAAGAAATAATATAGATTAATACAAACAAAATTTGGAGCAATTTTCAATAATATTTCATTGAATTATCAAGAAAAGCATCAGAAGATCTTACTTTGTACTTGCTTTTTAAAAATAAAGTCTCAAGTCTCTTAATAAGTAAATCAGTAATTTAATGTTTTTTTTAAATTTAATGTTTTTGTAACAAATTGGAAAATCATCTTCTAGTGAACAATTTACCATCTAATAATATTTACTTGAGAATCATTTGGATATTTGATCAATCTAAACATACTTGAATGTTTTTATAATATCCCATTGAGGGGAAATGGATTTCTTGTAAGAACATTTATATATATACATATATATATATACATATATATATACAATTATATATATATATATAATTGTAAACAAGTATGTGACTAGAGTAGATTTTTTTCTCCCAGACCTCTTCTGAATTCTTAAAAATCTTTAATAAGGCATTTGTTTGTTGAAATCAATCCAGCAAACTTTTAAGCTGTCAAAAGGCTTGGGTTTTACTAATAGGAGTTACAGAGATCTGTCTCTTAGCCAGCATTTCCACAATGGGAGAAACAAAAATGAAGTAATAAAAACCAGGAAACATTAATGGTAACTAATATAGATATGCTTGGAGAGAACAGAAAGTAAAAGACATTATTTAATTATGTATGACATGTTACATAGTGTCTGACATAGTCTAGCATAGACGCATATTATTTTTAGAGAGTTGAGAGACAATGTGTTGCTATTAGTTATACTCATTAAGATAGACTAAATAACTGTGATGGAGATTCCATTCTATTGGAACTTTGTGTGAATTCATTAGCATAATGTTTTCAAGATGACATTGTTCTTGAACCACATACTTACTGTAGCATCTCTTAAAAGAATTTACAAGAGTGTGTCCCTACTGAGTTAGTAGAGACCTAAAATTAAGTATCTCTACTTTTAATCTAATATTTAAATAGCTACAAAGGACTTTATTTCTGGCCTATTCGTCTTTTTTTTTTTAAAGATTTATTTATTTATTCATGATAGACAGAGAGAGAGAGAGAGAGAGAGAGAGAGAGAGAGGCAGAGGCAGAGACACAGGCAGAGGGAGAAGCAGGCTCCATACTGGGAGCCTGACATGGGACTTGATCCGAGATCCTGCCCTGGGCCAAAGGCAGGCGCTAAACCGCTGAGCCACCCAGGGATCCCCTATGACATTTAAAAATAGAACAGTTATATCACTCTTAATTATAATGCAGTAGAGTATCAGTATCATAGTGACTTGATGCTTTCTGTCATCTATTTAAAAAATACATAAATATGCTCTTCTTTGACCTTCAGAAATTTTACATAGTTCCTTTTTTTCCTTGAAGTTGTGTTTAAAATTTTCCTTCTTCACAGAATCCTAATGTTATTTTGCTTTAAAAATGTGTGCATTTGAGTATATTTGTATATATATACTTATGCAAATG